TGTTTCAAGCTGTCAGTAAGCAAGGTACTCAAAAGTGAAGAGGCTCTGTCCCAAAAAGCTGCCACTGGAGCAAGCTCTGAACAGGAAAAGTTTGGGGAGCCAATGGTAGAGTTGAGGAAATGTGCTCTGAGCTGTAAGTGTTTGGAAAAGTCATCTATCATTAGTTCAGTACATCTGAGCACAAAGGTGAAGGAAGCCTGCAAGTAGTATTTGTTTTGTGTGGCAAGCAAAGTTTTTTTTAAAGTTTGAAGAAATGTCAGGCAGTCCCAACTTGGTGAATCTAGCTGTTTGCGTAGAACTGAAACTGTCATTAGATGCTTTTAATGCAGTTTCAAGAATCTAGCGGTGTGAAACCCAGGAATGGAAGGCAATGTACGAGAGCATGAGTAGTTGAGGCAGATACTAATGAAGTGGCTGTTGAGTGTTCTGAAGCTAGGTCTTTTAAAAGTGAAGAAATTGAAATCCCCTTTAAAGTTTTTCAATGAGATTTGATTACCCAGTCCCTTCCCCTCTGGCTCATGTCTCTGGGATTGCTGAGAAGCTTGTCTTTACCACATTTTGCTGTTTGTGCTCTGTGGGATGTTTAACAAAAATTTTTTTACCCATATTTACCTTCCAATTCTGGATTTTAGAGTAATATTATGCATAATGTACTGTAGAACTGTCATAACTTTGCATCATTAAAGTTTATTGGTTTCTTCAAAACCAAGGACTTTTTATTTCATTCTTTTTAGTCCTTGGGTTTTAAACTTTTAAGTTTTCTTTTTAAAGAAAAAGTTACTGATACTTTGCCAAATTTACATTCCGATCAGGCTGTCTGGTCTAGGATCATGAGGCCAAGAAAATGTGGTCCTAATACAAACCTGTGAGCTACCTCTCATTTATGTATATTCCTCGACTGAAAAATGGCTGTTCGCTATTACTGTTTGTTGCTTTTTCTTTCTCACGATTCAATTTTGCAGCTGCATTACTCTTAGCAATCCTCTCATCAAAAGTTCAAATCAATTTTGTTAAACCCTTTTTTTTGGATATGTGCTGGACTGTGTTAATGCTGCCCATGTGATTAATTTTATTAATCAGTTTAGTTTGAAAACATTCACATCACATGTTAAACTGACCTAGTCTGTAGTTGTGGGTGTTATCCTTTCTTTTTGAACGAAGAATAATACGGCACAGGAACAGGCCCTATGGTCCTCCAAGCCTGCCCCGACATCTTTTTTGCCCTTCTATGTTAAACTGTCTTCAATTACAGGATCAGTGTCCTTCTCTTCCTTTCCTATTCATGTATTCATCTGGGTGCTGCTTGAATGCTGCTAACGTCTGACTGCATCCTCTGGCAGAACCCTTAGGTATATTGATATGCAGAGAGATCTGGGTGTGCAGCTCCATAGATCACTGAAGGTGGCAATGCAAGTAGATAAGGTGATTTTAAAAAAAAAGGCCTATGGCATGCTTGCCTTCATTGGAAGGGGTGTTGAGTATAAGGATAGGCAAGTTATGCTACAGCTTTATAAACTTTAATTAGGCCCATACTTGGAATATTCCATAGAGGTCTGGTCAGAACAATACCAGAAGGATGTGGATGCTTTTGGAGAGGGTATGGAAAAGGTTTACCAAGATGTAGCTATGAAGAAAGGTTAGTTAGACTGGGTTTGTTTTCAGTGGAACAGAGGTGGTTATGGGGCAACCTGATCGAAGTTTATAAGATTGTGAATGGCATGGATAAGAGTGGAAAGTATGAGGTTTTTTCCGAGGGTGGAGGGGTCAATTACTATGAGTCACAGGTTCAAGGTGTTTGGGGGTGGGGAGGGAAGTAGTTTTAAAAGAGGTGTGCAAGGTACATTTTTCTCTAGGGTAGTGAGTGCTTGAAACATTCTGCCAGAGAGAGAAGCAGTGGTAGAAGCAAACAATGTAATGTTTTTGCATGTATCCCCAGTCCTTTTGCCACCATTATATATCTAAGGAGTATTGAAGATTATGATCAGTACTTCAACAATTTCCACCTTTTTTATTTTCCTCTACTCTTGGATCATCTGATCTTACACCAGCGACTTATCCCTTTCAAGAATACCCAGCCTTTCTAATATGTTTGGTATCCATTTTTATCCAGTTCAGTATCTTGCTGCTTCCTATTTCACTTTGGCTTCTTTTCATGATAATAACAGGCACCATGCACTCATCTAGTAACTCAGCCTTGCCACTACCTCTTTGCAGAAATTTCTTTCTTCTGAAATTGGCTCTAAAAGAGTGCTAAAAGGAAGAATAATGTTTGTCTGCCTTATAGACTTTCTGATCTCTTTGTTAGCTTGCTGATCTTTTGTTCTACCTTCCTTGGTTTTATTTCATTTTTCACTTGCTGTCTGATTTCTCAATTGTTATCAAGCCTGATATTTGCCATTTTGCCCTTTTGGGCAATTCCTCAGAATTGAGGATTGCTTGCTTCCACTCGTTTAGTGGGTTCTGAAGTGACACAAATCCTGTGTATGATTTGCAGACACTGCCAGAAATAGACTAGGTAATGTTTGAACAGTTTGGTAGATGGGTTGCTTGGACATTTGTGCGCTTCTGCCAATGCCTCACATTGGCCTCTCTCTGCTCCTGACTAAATCTCTCTCTTGTGCCTTGCCATATGAGCATGGCCAGGGACTTTCTTGAATTGGTGTTTTCAGGGGTGTTTTGAGGATATCCACCATCTTCCGCTAATTCATCACCATAAGGTCAGAAGTGGGGATTTTGCTGATTATGCAATGTTTAGCATCATTACTGAAGCAGTCCATGTTGTGCGCAAGATATGCGCAATAGCCAGGTTTAAGCTCTGAAATGGGTAGTGACATTTGTGCCACAAGTGCCAGGAAATAACCATTTTGAAAATTTGAATCCTTGACATTTAATGGCATTACTGTTGAATACCCCCAGTGCAATCAACATCCTGGTGTTACCTTTACCTTTAGCCAGAAACTGAAATGGGCCAGCTATGTGAAAACTATGGCTACAAGAGCAGGCCAGAGGCTACAATTCCAGTACAAGTAATTTGCTTCCTGACTCACCAAAGCCTGTCCACCATCTATCTGGCACAAGTCAGGAGCGCTCCCCACTTGCCAAGATGAATGCAGTTCACAATACTTGTGTGGCTCAGCGCTATCCAGGACTAAGCAGTCTGCTTGATTGCACCTCATCCATGAACAACTGATGGGCGATGAATGATGGTCCAGTTATTGGTGGCCCATTTCCCATAAATGAATTCTTAAAAAGTGCTGTCCTTCTGTGACTCTTAATTGCCCTCTTGGCAATTGGGGATGGGCAATAAATGCTGACCTGGTCAGCAACGACCTCACCTCTGAATTTAAAAATAAAACCTTTCATGACAAAATCCAGAATAGAAGAATTGTTTAGGAGCCTGGCACCAAGTAGACAAATGACATGTCCTACCCAGTGGAGCTGATTAGCACCTTTTTGCTGATGGTGTGCATATTGGTTTGGGAGAGAACATTGCTACTGGATCACCTTCCTTCCCACTGATTTGAAGGTTTAGACAGACACTGGACATCTTCCAAGGCACTGGGGAAGTACGACCAACTCTCATAAAAGCTTTCTCTTCTGTTTTACTCTTAATAGATATAGCTATATTCTTAACATTCCTTGTTTAGGAAATTGGTGTACTTTGATGTGCAAAATTTTTTGATAACAGGTTGTGGTTGCATAGAGGAATCTTTTGGGGATGGTGAGCAGGAAAGGAGTAACTTTAGAACATGAACTCTTAACAGCTTTTCACGTAGTTTAGGAAATCAAAGATCCTAATTTTATTTCAGTAAGGGTTGGAATTATAGCCATTTGTAGCACAAAGGAGGTCATCCAGCTCACCATCCATGCTAGCCAACAAGTCACCATACAGCCGTATCCCAACTTTCAGTTATTGTCCATAACTTCGTAGGTTGTAAGACACTTCATGTACACATTGAGCTGTTTGCAGCAAGAATGTAATATGGACCAAACAAGCATTGTGTGTCAGATGCAGGCCTTCCAAGTGCTGGTGTCAGGCTGCAACATATTCCTCTAATTTTTAAACGAGTGTATTTCTTTGCCATGGAAGATATCCTTTGAAGCTGGTTTGTTTTCAAATTTCTGAAAATTTGGAGCAAAAAAGTAATGAGCTTGTCAATGCACCAGTAGTAATGTCTAGTTCCTGTAAAATGCCATCCACTTTTTTGTGATACTTCATACTGTTTTTACATCATTAATGACTGAGCTGGTTACAAAGTGATTTCTGTGCACTTGTTACTAACCGATACATAAAGAAATTGCAAGATTTCAGTCATTTGTTGGCTTATTGATCAAACCCAGGAGTTTCCAAGCACCTGGTTACTCTTTAAGTTTCCAACTGTGTTCTTCAGTTCATTGATGTTGAGGTATATGTTCCAGTTGGTCAAGTAAGGATCATTACAAAGCCGGTTGTATTGCAGCAGATTAAAACATTAAAGTTTTAAAAAGTAATTTTTTTTGCCGTTGCTACTGTGAACGGTGATGGTTGAATGCTCTCATCTTGTCCCTTTTTTGTTTTAGCTGTCTTTTTGCTTTTGCTCATTCAGCTATTGGTTCCAGAGCAAGATATCTTTATCCTTAACAAGTTGGTAACTTTTTTTAAGCAAGTGAACATTACTTGTGACTTAGCTTGTAGGAGATTGATTTTGTTGTTACTGTTATATATTAAAAAAACTACTCCAGTTATTGCCATAAATTTCCAAATATAGTTTTGCATTTAACTTTCATTGCTTGTATATGTCTAACAGTGTACAATAAGCAAGAGTCATATTAGTTTCCCTTCTCTGGTTTTTTTTTAAATGTTGTATATACAAGGCAAAAGAGATGTGGACAAGGCATGAAAGGTCACTGAGCGAGAACCTGTACAGAGTATGAACACTGTAGCAGATCAGCTGGGCCAGATGGCTTGTTTTTAGTGTAGATTCAGTATAATTCTATGTAAGTTTTCCCTGTCTTCACAGGAAGAACAGAACCGAGGCAAACCAAACTGGGAACATCTCAATGAAGAGCTCCATGTGTTAATAACAGTTGAAGATACGCAAGATAGAGCAGAATTGAAGTTGAGAAGAGCTGTTGAAGAGGTTAAGAAGCTACTGGTTCCTGCTGTAAGTTACTGTAGGAGCTTTTAGCTAATGATACTAATGATCAGCATCTTGTTAATGCTGCTTTGTTTTAAGAATTAAATTTTGCAGTATTTAAATGAAATGATAGGTGTCTCGAGTGTTTAACAGTGAGATATCCTAAAACCTACTACTAAGGTAATACTTGCTAAGCAAGTTTTAAAAGTTGAATGATTTAACAACTGCTTGTAAAAGTGTCACTTTTATTTCTAAATGTTTGCATTGTTCTCATAACAACAAACTCAGTTGTTTAAATCCGGATGTAAATAAGATGGGAATGAACACTTTGATGCAAGTCATTGTGCAGATTGCTAATTCATGTGCATGTGTCACCAGTCTGCTTCCAATCACTTAACAGCCTGATCTACCAGATATTAAGATAGTTGTGGTTTAGCTTGAGATTTCCTAGGATTAATGTATCCTTTGCATTGCCCTTCTGTCGAGCTTTAATTTCTCTCATTGGCAGGGGATTGGAAATGATTGACTGCAAACAACCAGAACCATTTTCATTTTGTGCTAGGTATTGTAACCAGTAAAGAGGTTTTAAACCTACTACAGATTGCACACTTTCCATTCCATATCACTCTACTCAGTTAATCCAAAATATTGACAAAACAATCCCTAGTAGTGAACTGTGATGGAAATGGTACAAAAGAATGAGCTACATTTATTTAAAGTGCAAATATTAACTCTTCACTGTCAGTCTAACTCTGAGCTAGGACATTGGCCATTAGTATTGCAATAAAGAGCAATGTATTTTCATACTACTCTTTCCAGTTGTCTGGCTCTGAATAACCACATTTAAGTATATGCATTCTGCTGGTTTGTCCGTGCAAACAGCTTAAAGGAAAATAAACCTTCAATGTCCATTGAAGTGGAGGTGACCCTTGTGTATGAAAATTCTCTGATAGAGGGTCCCTGAATTTTGATCTTGCAAGTGTTGGGTGGTAGCACCAAAAACATTAGCAAAAAAATGCAAACTTAATATTAAAGTTTAAATGAATAATATTATACAGTCTAGTGTTTTATGTAAGTCTTGTGAAAATTGTTAAAAGTGCTCACTAGTGTCTGAAATTTTATCTTGAACTTGGAAAGTATTTTGTCTTAAATTTGCTCAGCTTAGTGTAAATTGGCTTCCCTTATTCTATTGGAAAATAACATGGGGGGAATGAATATTATGCCATTAGAAAGAGCTGTTGCTGCTTAATCTGGTGTCCAACTTGGAGGCGGAGTCAGAAGAGACCACCAGCGTGACTATTTTGTTTTTGCACTCAACAAATCACTAAAGGTTTGAAAAATAAAATTTAACTGATCTCTAACCTCTATTTCTCAAACTTTCAACACTAGTTTAATTATAAGCAGAGGATAGGTTTGATTTAAGCCCTCACCATCTCTGACTATGTTCAGCCAGCAGCTTGTTTCTTGCTTTATGCATTGACCTTTTTCATTTAAAATTGTCATGGCTTAATATTTAATTTGCCCTTGATTACAACAAGTACTCAAAGCTGTACCTTTTTGAAATCTATATGATTAGCTAAAGTTTGGATTAATATTTGAAAATTATTGACACTGGTTAATTGAAAAGTTCATTTATTTACAGATGCAGTGATACAGAAAATCTAGATTGCTAACGGGAGTTAATTAGTCAAAAGAAATTTGAGATGATCTTTTACGTTTGCATTTTCCCTCATTAGGTAGGCTTGTATTAACATTCACGGAGCGTATGGTGACGAATATACATATCTGTGTTCACCAGCATGAAATGGTCTGTTGAATTTTTCACTAAGTTATTCCATTCATGAACTTTTTTTTAATTAGGACCGCATAATAGCCTATTTCTGTTAAGCTAAACATTAGAAAATCATCCTGATTTTGGTTAAGATTTCTTTGGCATTTGTATGTATGCAATTTGAGTGACTTGTGTATTTATTTGCTTTCGTTGGTTAACTTTGGAAAGGATTCTCAAGGTTGCAGACTATTAAGAATGATGGAGTGTAATGTCAGTTGAAATCAATATTATATGGAGTCCTCATGCCCTCTAAATAGCAAAGTATATTTGTGGTTAATGCAAATGGTTAGTGATTGGCATGCATTGAAGCTTCATCTTCTGAATTGTACATTCAAACAGCACGTATATGGCCAGTATCTTGTACACTTAGATTGAAACAATGGTGAATACTCATTATTCATTCAACTTATTCCTACAACAGATAATTCAAAATATTAAAAATGCTAAATTAGTGGAAACTGGATAAAGTATTACGTTCTGGAACTTGTTTTTATATGTATTCTTTGCACCCTGAGCTTTAGTTCATTTCATTGAATGGAAACGTGAAACTAAATAAAGAATCTGAGATTTGAAGTACATTGTATTTTGAAGCACAAAATGAAATTTGAACTACAAGGGGGGTTCTGTAAATACTTTCAGAGCTTTTGTGGAGTGAAGTATAATTGTTTGTCTTAAATCTGCATTCAAGACTCTCTGCAGGAGAGAATGACCATCTTCGTTATTATTTTTAATCAATCCATAGCACATCTCTAGAGCATACTTGCCCCAGGGGCAGGGCATTACCTCTGTACCCCAAGATCCCCAAGAAAATTGATTTATAGGCTTTTCTTTTTGGCTGACATGCTTCGAAAGAAACTTTGTTTCACTGTGTACTATTCTGCAAATGAGCTAGAGATCGGAAATGCCAACAAAAAATCAATATGATCAATGCCCTAAACACCTTTTTGTGACTGGACATTTTAGTGGATTAATTCAAAGGTGTAACTTAATGGTACTGTCCTGATCTGGGAGCATCTTTGAATCCTACTATGGCAGGTGGTGAAATTTAAATTCAACTTTTTGGAAAAAAAAAAGCAGCTAGCCGAATGGTGGCAATGTAGCTGCTATCAATTGTTGTAAACAGTCATCTGATTCACTAATTTCCCTTTTTTTGGGGAAAGAAATCTGCCATCCTTACCTGGTGTGGCTGACATGTTTGAACAGCTGGAGGTTGAGAAATGAATAAAAAGGTTTTAAGTTAAAGGATTTGACTGGTAATTAAATTTTACATTTGCAGTAAAGCTACACTTTTAATACTCTAAAAATGTACACTTGTATGAGAAGAGCTCGAACTGTAGAAATAGATTTGAACACAAACTGGTAGATGCTCTGAGTTTGACAGTAGCCTTGAGTAGGTTGGAGAGTTTAATGCTAACGAGGACAGTGAATTGGAGCAGTTGGTGAGTGCTGAATAAATTGGGGGACATTGTGAAACAGCTCACCAAAAGGATGATCATTAAGCAGCGACTGCCTTCTGATTGCTGGCTGTTGCAATCACTCTGCATGTAATTAGCTTTTGTTGTGATACATTAATTTTTTAAAATTAGATTTATATGAAGTGCAAAATGCAAGTTAAGACTAACTTAAAACTAGAGAACTGCACAAACATAGTTGGATCTTTTATAAATAAATGACGCTGTATAATTGGGAATAGAAGAGATTAAATATGATCCAACATTAAGTGACAATTGTTCACATGTTTGCTCATGTGAACAAAAGCACTGATAGCACAACTTGTAATATTTTTGAAAGGCCACTTTTCTACAAGTATTTAAAGCACTCTTAGCTTCATTTAGTGAAGTCCTCGGGACTTGACATTTGTGTCCTACCCCATCACAAGCCTACTTCTAGCAACTTTCCAGATTGAGAAGTCGAGTTCGGAATTTTGTTTAATACCATTGGACTCATTTTTAGAGATCTTGTAATGATTTTGCTGATCTCCTTTACATCCTACTGACATTTTATCACTTTTTGCCTTTTCCTACCTTTGTAGCTTCATTCTTTCTTTTTGCCAAAGAATTACTTCTGCCTTCCATTCTATCATATTTCTCTCTCACTTCCTTTCATGTGTATGGGCTTAAAAGTATTGCTTCTCAACTTTTTCGAATTTGAATAATTGTTAAACTTTCTTTTTTTCTCCCTAAGCCAGGTATTTCCAGCATTTTTTGATCTCAAGTTTCCAGTATGTGCAGCACTTTTTGTCACAGTGCCTTTTTTACTTAGCATTGTGCACAGACCATCTTTTCAAAGAAGTTAAACTTGTATTCAAAAATTTTAATTGATACCCATACAAAGATGCAGATCTGAATTGAATTTTGAAAGCCAAAGATTCTAACTTTATTCTGATGAATTATACCCAAAATATTAATGTATTTAACTTTATAAATGTTTGAGTTTTTTACTTGTCCATTCTATTACTCCTTTCAGTATTTCCTTGACCATTTCATGCACTGCTATTAAAACTAAATTTTAGCCTTCATTTAACAATTGGTAAGTGTTGAATTCATCATTTTCCTTTTGTGAGCTATTGAATATTGGGAAAGTACAAAAATATAGAAAATCAAACACATTTGAAATGTGTTGAATGACTTACCATATATAACTTGGTAATTCTGACTTGATGCTCTGTTAGTTGCTTGGGGTGACTCTTAATGTTCTCCTGCAGGTATTCCCTTTTTTCTTCATTAACGGGATGGGGGTGTCTCTGCCTAGGCAGCACTTATTGCCTATTCCTAATTGCCCAGAGGGCAGTTCAGTGTCTATCACATGGTTGTTGGTCTGGAGTCACATGTAGGCCAGACCAGGTAAGGATGGCAGTTTCCTTCCCTAAAGGACGCGAGTGAACCATACGGGTTTTTCTGACAATCAGTAATGGATTCATGGTCATCGTTAGATTCTTGATTCCGGATATTTTATTAATTCAAATTCCACCATCACAGTGGAGGGATTTGAACTTAGGTCCTCAATGTTATCTGGGTCTCTGGATTAACAGTCCAGCAATATTTCACTAGGCCGTCACCTCCCCCGTTAGCACACTTTGTTTTTTTTTTAATTGTACTTTCTTTCAGAATTTGTAAGGTGGGAACAGACTTGCTTCATTGGATTTTGTGGCTAATGTAGAACAGGACCTATTTTGGTCAGTAGGACAATATCCAAT